TCCCCTTTTTTTCTTTTTTTTTTTAAGTGGTAGAAGTCAACAGCTTACGTTTCACATACATTGTGAAACGTAAGCTGTGTGTATACATTGTAATCTCACGTCGCGTACTTCCCAGAAAAAGGGCAGAGACTTAAAGCGGTGATGCAACGATTTTTGTAGTACAACGAATCCTTAATTTATGGAACACACGTTCACCACACGCAATAGAAGTCGCAGAAAAAGAAATTAAAGAAAAACGAGCGGCCTTGAGCTCTTCACCTGGCTGCCTGAACAAGCAGCCACGTGATCTGGAGCCAATTATATGCCGCCAGTGTTGATCATGGCCACACGCTGGGGTTGGCAAAGCACAATACACGCGCTGAGTTCCAGATATTGTTACGGTTCGGCTATTGTCATCATTGCACCGATTGGACACTGGCTTGTCGAACGAATGATTATCACGTACGAAAATCCAGTGCTCACGCAATGCTCGGGTCCAATCTATGAACAGTATTCAAATATCGTCACTGGGGAGTACTGCCCTCCCTTCCCCAGCTACGTTGTCAAGTTCGGTGAAGGAGAGATTGAAAGGAAACGCTCGCTTTTGTCCTTGAAATTACACCGCAACAAAGAAATTTCTTGGTCAGCGGCGTTGCGTACGAGTATATATATACTTGAGTCCCGCTAGTGCCAGTAAGCTCATGTGAAGTGAAAAACACTCCAAGCGAATATAGTTGCACGGTCCCTTTAAAAGGGCATTCAAACGAGGGAGAAATCCGCGCAGGGATGTGCATGACGTCGACACCAGGCGCAATTTCTCTTCGTGTTTACTCCGACGAAGTGCCGGGGTCGGCGTTTGCAGTCCATTTGAGCGGTTTCCACACTTTACACCACCGCAGACGAACTTAGCGAGCTCTACTATTGATATCAAATAGTTTAACGACAAAATATTATTGAAAGCAAACTAATAAACGGCCAAAACAAGAGTCTTCTTTTTTTTTTTTCTTTTTTGCCGTTTAAGATTTTTTTTTTTTTTTTGTCCGCCGCGTAGCCGATTTAGAGCACCGCATAGCAAAAACCTGACGTGTTCGTCGCCTGATGCACGTGCCGGGGAGAAATCCCCGGGGATTTGCCTCTCGCGTAAATGCCCCTTTAGCTCTATTAGATACAACCAAATGAGCTATAGGCTTCGTAGTAAGGACGCTTCGGTCCTCTTGATATACTTCAAAATCATCAATTGTTGTCGGTCATCCATAGATTTATACCTGACCGCAGGAAACGCTTTTCCCGTCCCCCCAAAAATGTTAAAACATTCCGCAAGGAAACAAAACGATATCGCCTCGAGCGTTCCGACACTGTATGTATGTATAAAGCTCAGGAAGTCGCACTTTCGAATCCGGTAATGATTGCCAATAGACCCTTTTCAAAAGTCCGCACAATCGCCTGTCCGCCAATGCTTGGTCACGTACTCTGCAGTACGTATTGGACACGAGTGTGACGTCAACGTTCGGCGAGGACTCGGATCCAAGCACACGCTTCGTGTCCAAGCAGTGTTGCTTGATGAACTTTTGAAAATGGTCTAATGCACCCACTTCGCACTAAGTACCAACATGGCGGCGCCCGCAAGAAAATCGGGGAATGGAGTGCCAGTCCTCCAAGCGTATAGCGAGTGGCTGTGTATACGCTCTACTTCCCGGTTAATGGGATAACCGAGCGACGTTGAAATATGTCATTGTTTGCAGCGGCAAATATGCGGTAAGTAGTTGCCAAGCGCCGCGAGCGTGCACAGAACACTTCTAGGACACGGTTCGGCTCGCGTTACATATTCGCCAGAGCGTATATACCAAAATGGGCGGAATGCCAGGCACGTCGAAAACAGTTGACCGAGACGCTCGGCTTCGTGCGGAACCGTTACGTTCGAAACGACACACTCTTAGAAATGCCTGCGCGTCAACTTACCCGCTGAACACTCAAAGAGCCAATCTCTGCGATCTAGGAAATCAGCTCAGCGAATGATGAGGCGGAACATCCGTTTAGACCTAAAAATTAAGTCTGCGCTGTGGCATTACGCAATGCAAAGCGTCATGATTGCATTGCGTAATGCTACAGCGCAGACTTCATTTTGAGGTCTAAACGGATGTTCCGCCTCATCATTCGCTGAGCTGATTTCCTAGATCGCAGAGATTGGCTCTTTGAGTGTTCAGCGGGTAAGTTGACGCGCAGGCATTTCTAAGAGTGCAGCGACGGCAAGGCGATCGCTCGATGACATCGCAGTAGATGAGCGCACGGCCCATAACGTAACTTTTAAGGTTTGGGAGTTTCAAGATGCAGATGAGATATTCGGTGAGGGGCGCTCGCGCTCCCGCGTTGAGGCACACTCTTGAAGTGCTCGCCAAGAGTAATGACGGGTCTTCTGAAATGATTCGCTACATCAGCCTACGCTCAACGTGCATGCACCGGATTATTACCAGAGTTTAAAATACATTTGTGCAGATTTAGGCAGCAGGAAGTTGAAAGGCCGTGTTTTTATATCTGATTACCGGGTATACGTTGACGCTCGAAAACGTCCATCACAGACACACAGTCAGAAATCGACGACGGCGAAGCCATTCATTTTACATTTTTTTATTATTATTTCCAAACGTGCAGTGTGTAAACTATTTATAGTTTAACATTAAAAAAAAAATTAGAAGCGATGGGAATCTCAACTTCCGCCATCTTGCCTGCACACTAAGTGTGTTTTCGTCAGCCTAGTTGTACCAAATTCGGTTGTACCTCTCGATGTAATACGATGGCGTCGTATCTGCCGCGTCGGATGCGCCCTATACAGTTGTGCTACGCGTGGTGAACGCAAGTCGAGACGAACGTGTCCGGTTTGGGGTCACTTTTGAAGCCGTAGCGTACGAAATATGTTTTAGCATAGCCTCCTATATATAAAGGGCAAGCATGCGCCCTTCGCGCCAAAACAACAAACACCGCTAGATCGCGGTAAAAGAGGGAAGAAGAGCGGAAGCCGAGGCAGGCCCAAGGGGGAACGATTTTGAGGGCGCAGCGCCACAGGGCTAGCGGCCGTACTACGAACCACCTGTTTTCGTATTTTATTCGGGGCAATCGAAAAGTAAAACTAATCCCGGCTCCCTTCATATTTCAGTTGGGTGGCGATTTGGGCCAGTCCTTTGTACTTCCCGGGCTTACCCTCCTCTCATAATTGGAGTAGGATGATGCCAATGATGCGCAAAGAATTAGATAACGGACGGACAATGATTTTTTTTTCTATTTTTACAGGAAAGTAAGAAGCGATAAGGGGTTTCAGAAAGTGTTTGCCGATAATCAAGGGGGCACATTCCCCCCACACTTTTGTTTTTGTCATGTTTTGTCGTTCTTTTTTCTTTCCCCATTTCGGCGGCCGGTTATGGCGGGGGTGGTAGTAGACCCAAGATGGCGGAAGAGACGGGGATAAATTCTCCAGGATTTCTTGTGAACCTGCTCGTTGACGCTGGCCAGTGTGCTAAAAGTAATTTATTGGGCTTTCAATACGAGGCGGTCAGGCCATGAGCGTATCGTAGGTGACGGAGATGTTGACGTGAGGTAAGAGAACGAGACTGTTGCTCTTTAAGAGTTGCGAAGCGGAAGACAGCAATTCCTATTTTAACGCACTCGCTTTTTTCTTTAAAGCTGCACGATGCACGAATACGCCGACCAGAACAATGCGGTAACAGCAGCGCACCAAGGCCGATAGCCCCCTGCAATCGTCCCCTCCGCCGGCCCGGTTCCTCTGATTCTTCGTTCGTCCGCAAGAGGGCGAGCGGTCGGTTGGAAGAGAAGCTATAATTTTACACTCTAAAAAAAATCAATAAAAAAAATAAAACTACTGCGGAACACAGAGACAGCCAATCTCGAAGAAGAACGGAAGGACCCCAGTGGGCTAAGGATGTGACCATAGACCAGTAAGGTGTCAAGGGCGCATGCAGGGTCATTGAGCAAATGAAACGCAATTCCTGCGCACATCGCATTCTTACAGGTCTCAATGTAATTTTAGCTTCGCCATTCGCTGAGATCTTTATATTGTTTTGTTATCTCAAAGACGTATTTTTAGTGTGTACTTTTCGAGAGTTTGTCAGTATCCCCCCCCCCCCCCCCCTCCCCCATATTACGTTACAATTTTTAGTATTGTGTAGAAGTTGTGTTCGTCGTTTTTTATACTTACATTTTTATATCTATGCCCACGTACTTGCGTAACATCCCTTGCGGGTTCTCAAGGAAATTAAATTATGATTATGAAGACGATGATGATACCTCTCAATCTAAGACCAGTGATTTATCACCCCGACATTTTCAGAAATGAACAGAGTTGCCCCGACAACACCTCGAAAGACAAGTCCATAATATACTTCATAGCCGCCCCCCCCCCCACCCCCCCCCCCCCCCCACACACACAGACGCATGCACAACTCTTCCAAAATCCCTTCCTATTTCTTTTTTTTTTTTTTTTTTTTTTTTTTTTCTTAGACGACGGTTTTTTAGCCCCACGCTCAGAAGTGCCCAGGCTCGCCCCGTTCGAGCATCTAACGGTCACAATCGGGGCAAATATCCGAAGATTCACATCCATTTTTCTCCAACATTGCGACTCAGGGGCGCACGTTGCGTCCAAGGCCACGGACAACGGACAATGAGCGTGTGTTAGTGCGTGAGTAAAGCAGGAATAAAAATAGGACTGTGAAATTATTTGATTAACGTGCAGATAGATGAATTGGCAAATAGGCTTGTCGCGAAGAAATCTTTCAACCGATTAGTCGGCCAAACATGCGCCAAGTTTATTCGGCTGTCACAAATTCCATGCGTTCCAGACACTTTTTTGGCGTGTCATAGGGTGTTTAAAACTGCAAATCATTTTAACTTAAAAAAAAAGTAAGAAAAAGACTGTGAGACACGATAAATGGAAAAGGTACACAGCAACCATTATTCCTCTTTTTTTTTTTTTTATCATCCTGCGCGCGCGTGAAATGCCAGTATCCCCTCACCATTCTGGCTCATGTTGGCCCGGTCTGCTTCCTCGTTTCCTTGAACGCTGTCCAGCCGCGGTGTCCCGGTGATGGAACGCGGAGTTCGCAGCCGACGTGGTCGCAGCTTAGCTGCTGCCGTCGACGAACGCAAAGGAGGCGGTGGTCAAGCGGTATTCGGGGTCCTCGGGACCTGTGTTTGTTCAGGAGCCGGCTTTTTGTCTCAGCTTGCGTGGCTCCTCATGGCGACCCAAGCACGGGCCGCGTGCACCGCCACCGGTCGGGCTTGTTCACCTTCGAGAAGGAAACCGCACGAGATGCCTTTGTTCGATGAACGGGAAACTTCCAGCTATAAAAAGAAAACAAAAAGACACGACAAATGGAGTGATGCAAAGATAGGGGAGGTGGAGGACTGTACAAATGCAGCTCATTCTCCCGCTGTTTACGGAAGGCCGTGCCGCGCTCCGTTCGTCCCTGAGCTGACAGGGCGGTGGGAGCTACGCGCTCGCAGGACCAGTCCAAGGCCTCCCATTGATCACGTGACCACCACATGACCCCGTTGGAACGGGATCACGTGGCGAGAGACAGACGCTTGACTGGTCCAGCGAGCACGGAGCCTCCACCAGGCTGTCAGCTGACTGGTGAACGCTCTAGGAAAAAGACAACCTTGTGAATTTATCTCGCTCACGCGTTGGGTACCGGCAGTGTTCGGGTGCAGGGTTAACCCCACACGGGCAATCGATATTCCACTCGATTTCACTTTTACACTCCCAAGGCTGGTTCACACATTCGTGTTTCAGTGTGCCGACTGCGTTGAAACCGCTTTTGATTGCATACGGCGAGATGGCACGCTGGCGTCGTCTATTGCGAACAATCCTGGCCCACTTCCGGTCTGCGCATATTTTCTAATTTTTTACTCCTCATTTTTTTTCACCGTGAGTGCTTAAAATAATTACGACATTAATATGTGCGTTCTTTTCTCTTAGTGCGTTCACTCTAAGAATTCTGGAGCGTTGGCTTTCGAGCGAAACATTTGGAAGAAGCAATGGTTGCAATCTACCGAGGTTCTTTCATCCGCACCATCTACGGATGATGCGGATAAAAATATGTTTAGACCTATACAAGAACTGTTTGCGCTATGACACAGAGCATACACCTTTTTTTGTTTGTTTGTTTTTTTGAGGGGGAGGGGGGGGAGGGGGACTTGTGCGCAGGTGAAACGCCAATATAATTTCTACCGCGCACATTGCACCTTCTTTGATTAACCGTACCCCGAGCTTTGTCCTTCGCTGGGATTCTTCCTGTGTTCGCCATAACTGTTTCAATGCAATGCAAAAAAAAAAAAATTTTTTTTAGGTGCAATTGTAGATTACAGATGGATTCAAATTTTCAATTTTCAAAACTGTTTACCAGCTTTGACAAGATTATTTCTATATTGTGTTCTTTTTTTTATTTTTGTCAATTTATTTTTGTGTCTGTATGCTGACGATGGAAAATGAGTTGGGATTTCGATCTGACATTTACTTCCCACTTTTGTGGCCAGTTTTGATTGAACGGAAGTCTCTATAGCGACGCATATATCTGTACTTTACTACATTAATCGCGTTAATTGCAGTCGTATCTGCGCTTGCGCAGTTCTTCCCTCTGTGCAAACGCGTGGCAATATTATCCATGCTATGCGAGACTATTGAAAAATAGCCGTCCTGCATTAATCCACGTCGCAGCGATAGGTCACGTCACGGCGAAGTCCTGGCATGGTGCCTGGAGCGCGTGTGTTTAGCGTCCTATCCCGTCCATACATCAAAAGTAGTCTCAAAGTGGCAACAAATGACGTCACAGAAGCCGGAGTGTCATGCTGTTGCATGTCGCGATCCTGGCGGTTGGTCGTAGAAATTCTGGCGAAAACCACAGGCGAACGCGAGTGTCGCTGTCGTCACGGCGTTCCAGGCGTTCTAACTTCCGGCTGCTTTAGCTTCCGTGGACTGCCGCATTGGAGAGCGACCTGCAGCAGAACAGGCGTCTGCCACACACCCCACAGCTATTAAGACCCCGCCAGGTTCGCGACCGGCGACAGCATGACACTTCTATGACGTCATCAGGCGAAAATCGAGGGACCACTTTTTTGGACCCGGTAAACACACCAGTCGGAGGCGCGTTCCAGACACCATAGTCCTGGGGCATTCGCGTCTCGTTCACACCATAGAGTTATTATAATGGACGCTAGAGGCTCAAGTGGCGCTAGTGTGCTGACGCAAATTGAAACAGAAAGCTACCAGACGAAAATTGACTTCCGGTAATGCATTCCTATGGCAAAAAGTGAGTGCAGTTTCTCCCTGCGCTCGATCATAAGAGCAAATATCCCGACTAGTTCATACGTACCATAGGTATCTTGGAACATTTCTCAGTCAGGTCGACAAAATAATTAGTCAGTTACGGCCTTTTCCTTTCAAATTCCTCGCATTAAAAATTGTGCTAAAACGGCTTCGTACGTATATTTATGTGCACTGTCGGACACTTAGCGCGAACGCGACGTCGGCACTTTTCAGCATGAGGAATATACGTGCCAAACGAAGGACATCTGGAAAGCCAAGAGAGACGGCAAGAACCATGCAGTAACACTGGATTAGTAACTACCAGTGCATGTGTGATCAAAATAAATTGAAGGCCACGTAATATATTCCGATTTTAAATAAGTAAGTACAGCTTTATTCTCTCTGCTTTGCGCGAGCGCGCTTGTTCTACGTTCAAAATATCACCCCCACGCTCGAAATCTTTGAGAACAAGTGTCTGCATGCATGCGCAAAGGTGCCCGGCAGAGAAAACAATACGAAGGGGCACCTTTCACAGCCGACGTACTTTATTGTTTACGTTTTGAATGTTTTTATCCGCTCATGCACGGCGAGGTCATTTTCATATAGTGACAGGACTGGCATTATAAATATATATAAGCGTCACGAAATACTGGCGAAGCTTGAACACACTCTATATTCCTTTCGATAGTAATTTTGCTTTGAATCGTCGCTTGATTTTACACACCTGCTGCGGAACACATGTTTGGGACGGAAATGTAGCGAAGTTAAACATCGTTCACTGATGAAGAAAAATGCACTAACTAAAACAATTACATTTTTACAGTGTTAATCATGGTACATACTTTTCGGTACGACCCAAATGACCAAAGTGTTCCGTGTTATTTTCCGGCGAAGAGACAAAATGCACGCGCGTGTCCCCATAGGAATGCACAGGAGCACCGCAAGAGTAGACTGGTTGCTGTCTGTTTCAATTGGCGCCACGGAAGTCGCGTAGACACTAGCGCCAGTTGAACCTCTGGCGTACATTATGATAATTCTATGGTTCACACACCGTGGGTTGCGCGAACAAAGGTGTTCGAAATAAAATAGATATACCTGACCATTTTGTTCCGAACTATTCCGAACACTTCTTATTTCTTTTTTCTTCCGGAGCGCGTGAACACGCGTCTCCCGGCACGAGCTCTTGGCATTGACAGTGCTACAACGGCACTTTGTTATCGGCTATTATTTTTTTCTTTCCGACAGCACGGGCAGTGGGCATTGTGTACTAGCATAGCCTCCTAACAAGCCTAACAGATCGCCACGAGATACGGCCGCCGAAAGTGGAAAGGTAGAGCTAGTGCCACTAAATAAGCTACGCAGCTCATCTAGTTGCTCTAGGTAGAGCGGCAGACAAGAGGCGCCCCGCTGCGACGAGACGCCGAAACACACTTCTCCCAAGCGATGGAATGTCCGCTCGTACTCCTCGCGTTCCTCGCGCTACCGCTTCGTCTCTCGTCGGGTCTAAAAACCACGTTTCGGGCCCTCGCCGCTGCAAAAGCTGTGCGCTGACTACAGACTCCCCGAGAAATGCTCTGTGCTACCAGATCTTCGCGCTCCAAATTTCTGACCGGGCACTCTATGGCTACGTCGTCGAAGTGCCAAGCTTAGTAAAACTGAAAGCGGGTTATAAACGCTGCAGTGTACCTCGTAAAAAAAAGAAAAAAAAGAAAAAAGAAAAAGTAATAATAAAATAAAAATATTCATAAATAAATATATATAAAAAAGAGTACCTTGCGTGGCCTAGTTAGTAGCGTGTCTGGCTCGCAACCGAAGGGTCGGGGGTTCAAATCTCACCTAAAATTCCTCAAATTTTCTTTAAAGTAAATGAATTACTTTTATTGAGTTAAAAATTTTTGAGACATGCGGTGACCTTTAATTCGCCTTACATGTCATGTTTTTCATCATTTTCATTCCACGCGTGACGTCACGTTCCACGTGAGCGTTGTTTGGAATTCCCGCGCGAGGTCATGTGACTATGACGTCATGACCCTATCGACCAATCAGGATTTTCGCGACATGCCACCGACGCCGGCTTTTCTGACACGCCACCGATCTGCTGCGACACGAGCGCTCTATCCCGTTAAAAAAAGCTGCGACGTAGCTCGGTGGTAACGTCTTCGCTTCGCACGCAGCGGACCGAGGTTCGATCCCCCCGAGCGGCGGGCGATCTTTTTCAAGAATTTCGCTACATCCGCGACGGACGCCCTACATCGCCGACTACAACATCAACAACGAGAACGAGCGTCGTTTCTAGTGGTGGGAAAAGTCCATAACAGTTATCGCTGTAAAAAGAACGAAAGTAAACACGAAGGATGCAGGCTGGGCGTTCTAGCAGTTTCCACATTTCCGCTTGTGTAGGCATGCAGGCAAACGTGTATCTTACATACCCGTGCACGCCAGACGTGGTGTCACGTCCTAGGTGTTGTATGTATGCGCCTTCAAGCGCGTACTTCCTGATCCTCGCTTCATCCCTTAGTCACGGCCACACCGTAGTTACTGCATACAGTTTTTTTATATTATTTTAGCAACGAACATTTTCGCAATCTGAACACTTGATGCCATCTGCTTAATGCGATCTGCGTTTATTTGAACCGCGCTGCCGTAGATTCTGCTTGTGATTGTGTACTATATTCATATGCACAGGAAGATAACAGTTGCTGTTTTGGGGGGCACCTTCTGGAGACACAAGCCAAGTTTACTCGTGGACACATGGGAGTCAACACTTTTCGTAGCCTTGACGTTCACATCAGAGTGCTACGGCCTACACGTTTCTCTCAACGTTTACAAAACACGTGTTTTCTTTTTAACGTTCGAACGGTGCGGTAATTAACTTTTCCCACATAATATTCAAGTCAATCATCATGATCAAAAGGAAGTTTGGCAAACTGCGAAACAAAAATATAAATAATGAAAAAGTTAATCTAGAAAAAAAAAAAAGCTGCTCGAGTTTGAGCATTGAGTACGACGTAAGCATGTGAAATATCACGCAGAGTGC